AAAAGTGTCGAACAACAACTATGAGATAAAGTCGGGCACAATTTTGATGCTTCAAAGTGCAGTTCAATTCAAAGGGATGATGAGTGAAGATGCTCATGCACATATCAAGTCGTTCTATGAGTTGACGGATGGAATCAAGGTGAACGGGGTTCCTCAAGAAGCAATTCGTCTGAATTTATTTTCGTTTACTCTAAATGGAGCGGCAAAGCAATGGTTGAATAAGCATCCCCATCACTCCTTCGTCTTGTAGGACGATCTCTACAACAAGTTCTTCGCACGGTACTTTCCATCTTCTAAGACGACTCTAATGAGAAGCGAGATTACTATGTTCCGTCAAGAGGAGGATGAACCATTGTTTGAAGCATTGGAAAGGTTTACATCTCTCCTAATAAAATGTCCACACCATAGCATCGCCGATTGGTTACAAGTAGAAAGCTTTTATAATGGTTTAACAAGGGAGTCACACCACCTCATCGATGCAGCTAGTGGAGGTGCCATAAGGAACAAGGAGGTCGATGAACTTTAAAGATTGATTGAAGAAATGGCTCTGAATAGCTACAATTTAGGGAGGGGGGCAGAAGGAGAGGTAAGGATGTGAATAAGGGAAGTTTATTTAAGATTGAAGAACCATCGTCATTAGCAGTACATATACAAGAACTTTCCAAGAAAATTGATCAAGTTGCATCATCAATGAAAGGCAATGGGAAGCAACTCATGAAATGTGATTGGTGTGGCGACTCGAGTCACACTATGAGGTTTGTAAGTCTATAATTGAGGCCTCAATTCAATTTGAGCAAGCCAACTTTGTTGGAGTGCAATCTCGAGGAAACAACCCTTATAGCTCTACATATAATCCGTGTTGGAGGAACCATCCTAACTTTCTTTGGTCTTCTCCGACGGATAGAAAGCCTCCAAGGTTTCAATCTCAAGCTCCTATTCAAAATGCTTACCCAAGGCTGAGTCAACCCTCGTACCAAGGAACAAACCAAGAACAAAGTCGACCATCCGAGGGTTGAGTTTCTAAACTTGAAGACTTGGTAGGCCAATTCTTTACGCACTCAAACAAGAAGTTTGAGGCTGTTGACAAAGTCATAGAGAATACTATGACCAAATTCTCAAGTTTGGAAGCGGGTCCATTATTGAAGTTACTTTGGCATCTATTGGATGTGAGGGTGTCCCTCCAAAATTAAGAGATAAGGGAATCTTCACTATTCCATGCACCTTCGGAGTCAAAAACCTTTTGGAATCCGCTAGCAGATTTGGGGTCTAGTATCAATATTATGACTACAAGAATATACAATGAATTAGACCTTGGACCACTCATACCTACTAAAATGCGGGTTGAGTTGGACAATATGCCTGTTTTCTAATGGTCCTGAACCCACTAGTCAAGAGTGAGTGATTCAATCACATTTTGCCTGTTCATATCTTATCCCGGCGAGGACCTATGTTGCCCATTCGTTTATTCCTTGGACTTGAACTCTATGCATGGTTAGTTTTGGTTGGTGAGTAGTCATGTCGAGACTTGTATTGATTTGTGAATAGGGTGAGAACTTTTCGTTTGCACGTTCTTAATGCAATCGAATGTCGTTTGTGGGGATGCTGACATTGCTTGTAATGGTTCATGTGTTGATGCCCAATAGCCATTGAGATTCACCCTCTTTGAGCCCTTTGATATGTCCCCAAGTTATCTTGTTAGGTTGAGATATTACCTTATTGGGAATTGGTTTGCTTGGGGACAAGCAAACGTCTAAGTGTGGGGGAGTGATTCGGGCCTAATTGTACACTTTTTACCCCCATTTTCCATAGATGTTTGACGCACTTTTACTCCGTGAGATTCGGTTTTATGCTAGGTTGTGGTTATTTTTAGTATATTTTAGATCCTAGCATGTGCAATCAACTCATGGAACATAAGTTGGATGAAAAGGGGGAAAAATCGATCAAAAGGGAGCAAACAACAACAATTCATTGTGGAGGCCAGTAGATCACGGTCAGCTAGACCGTGAAGAAGGGGTGCAGACCGTGAAGCATGGAGTCTAGTGGGTTTTGCATGCCTTGTGGGCGTTCATCATTTCACGGTCATCCGACCGTGAAGTGCCTAAGTGAAACGACGCATTTTTGCTTGACATCATGGTCCAAGCCCATTGTTCAAGGACGTGAACTTGGACCGTGAAATGTCGTCGATATGGGTATATAAGTAGGGTTGAGCTTAAAGAGAAGAGGAGAGAACCTAGTGTGAGAGACTTATTCTTATTTAGATTTCTAGAGAGAGAAAGTGACGAACAAGAGAAGGAGGAGAAGTTAGGGTTTCATCCAAGAGCAAAGTTTTGGAAATTTTTTCCTCCAAGGTTGATCTCCACACCACAAGGAAGAAGGCAAACATCTTCAAGATGGTTTTCTCTCTTCTCCTTAGTGTATTCCCTCTACTTAGCATGGAATAGTCCTTTCTTTCACTTGGGTGTTTGTGAACCCTAGCTATAATTATGTGAATGTTTGTATGGATTGAACGACTTGTGTATGGTTGTGTTTTAATACGAGTTATGAGGTATTTTCATGAAGGTTGAGTTGTGTTTATGCATTTCCTAACTCTTATGCCATTTTGACCTAGATAGAAGGAAATCCCCTTCTTGCTAAGAGTCATGTAAAAGCTGGAATTCCTTGGTCAAATTGTGTCACCTACTTAGGTTGAATTAGGGCAAACCTCTTAATACGTATCAGCACCTTGGGTAGGTTGTGTTTTGGCCATCCGAACTATGGTTTGAGGAAGAAGCCCAAGCAACCCTTAGTCGATTGACCAAGAGAGCTAGCTGCCTTGGTAGCTTGATTCTAAATCTCTTGGCCTAGTGACTGAGAGAGTGACGTTTGCTCACTTGTTGCACTTTCCTACGGTTTACAATCGCCTTTATCACACATTTGCATTCTATCCGAGAAGTCATGATTACTAGCTAGGGGGAGCAACACCTAGGTGAAGCCTTCTCAATTAGTGTTCCAATCATTTGCTTTTCCAATCGCTTTAGCTTTAAACCATAGTTTTAACCAAAAACCATTTCCTAGATAATGTTTCAAACAATCGAAGTAGGAGTACATGGACCGGCCCGGTTTGACTTTTAAAACATACGTGTCCTATATCGCACCCTGTTAAAGTTAATACTTGGCCCTTAATCGGAATTTTATTGTGATATTCGGGACGAGTCAATTGCCGCCCAACTTCTTCCTTCCCGCTCCAAAAGATCGCCCAATTTTCGTTTGGATTGATCTATATTGCCACCTAATTATCATTTGGGTTAATCTATTTTGCCGCCCAAAAAAGTTGGGATAGGAAAAAATATTTTTCTTCTTAGCTTTTAGAGTGGTGTTTTATTTTTCCGAATGTATGGTTTGTTAATAGTATCTATTGGTTGCAAATGTTGATATCACCATTACTATTAGCTAGTGTACTTTACCACTTACAATTAATAACATGACAAGTTTACAAATCATACAAGTTTATTCAACATTTTGACTAGTTCTTGATTACAAATATAAGTATATATACGAGTTAGAAAGAAATTGGTTAAAATTGTGAAAATATTTTAAATTAGTGTAAAAAATATTTAAATTGGTAGCGAGTAAGGAGTAAATAACTCGATACGCTGATTCGAACAAACTGCAATTCGATCGGTCCGCAACCCACCCGACCCGAAACTCGATGAACCTATAATTTGATTTCCCCGCAACCCGATGAACCAACAACCCGACTAACCTGCAACCCAATTAAACTTTATTAAACCAAAATCCAATAAACCCGCAACCGGATGAACGCAGCCGAACCCGCCGATTCACACCTCGGGCTCGAATAGTAAGCGCAAGGACCAGGAAACCGTACCGGACCGGCCGGTCGGACCGGGAAAACCGGAAACCGGAGGTAAAACGGCCCAATAGGGTATTTGTACCCTTCAAATTCCTGTCGGGCGGTATTTGCGGTTGGACCGCAATGAGCCGAAATTTTGGCCGGTTTTAATAAACCCGGCGGTTTGTTTCATTTAAGTAAAACGGCGCCATTTTGACGCGAGTTATAAAAAAAAAAACAGAAGGGAAGGGAAGCAGAGACGCGAAAACCTACCTTCGGCTGGCCAGCAAGCGCTCTTCAGTCTTCTCTCTGCCTCTCCTCTCCCTCTCCCCGCGCCGCTCTGCCTCTCCTCTTCCTATCCCCGCGCCGCTCTGCCGCTCTCCCTCTCCCCGCGCCGCTCTGCCACTCGTCTTAGGTCACCCAATTCGTTGGGTTGGGCCTTGCGCTCCCGCTTGAGAGCGTTGAAAGCGCGGATTTTTCCGAATTCGCAGAAAGTTCGCGAATTTTTACTTCACAGAGCGCGATTTCTTATTTTTAGAACGCGTTTTTTTCCAAGCAACAGCAAATCAAGAAATTAACATCCAATTTGAGGATTGTAGTTGTCGGACAAGGTGTAGGAAAACAATCGATTGAAGCGTAGAAGAAGAAGAAAGTAGATTGGCAAAAGAATAAATTGGAACTTCTGAAACTCCAGAGAATCCCAAGTCGCCGTTGGAGCTTAAAAATCTTGAGGATGCGCTAAGCCAGATCTGGAAAGAAAAGTAGAGGACCCGAAAAAGGAGATCGTGTTGTGAGAAGCCCACAACTCTCCTGCGAATTGAGAATGGGAGAGAGACGACATGCAGTTGATGACGGGAAGAACGCTTGAATCGTCGGCCGCGGCGGAGACGAAAACGAAGTCGATAGCTGGAGCTCCTACAATAGCCACTGGTAGTGGTAGTTGAACAATGGACACTGATCGGGAATAAGTACTGGGAATGGATGGTTCCAGATGAGAATTTGGAATTGGGTATTCTTGCCAGAGGTGGAGAGAGATTGAGAATGGATATGAGTTTTGTTTTGGGGGAAAATGGATGGTCATGGTGAATTTACTCACTCCCACATTTTTACTAGTTTTAATTTATTTATTTGTTGAATGTTACTTAAGCTAATTTACTCTTTTACAGTTTCTTAGGCGGTATAATCCGGTTTTATTCCGGTATTTTTCCGGTATGGTACCCTAATTTTGCCGGTACGGTTTTGTAGCAAAAAAATAATTTTTTAATTCCAAAAACGGTATTTACCGGTATGAAACGGTTGAACCATGGTTGTACCACGATTTACCATGCCAAAGACGATTCCGGTTTGATGTCCGGTACGGTTTCGTAATCCATGAGTAAGCGGAGCTACTTTTTTTCTCCTCTCTCGCGGTCCCGCTTTACTGTATCGCTCTGTCCTCTCAGATCCGAACAAATCCTCCGGCGGAAAGGCTCTGATAACAATTCTCGTACAACCCTCCAGATTACTCCGGCAAATGAGGATTCTGCAGATTGGGTTCTTGGTCGCTTTGGCATCTGGACTTTCTGCTATTCTCATCTACATTAACGGCGTCACCAATTTCGGTACCCATCCTCCCTCCCTTCTTCCATGCACTCCCGGCGAGTTCGATTCCAGTTTTCCGAAGAGAACTCATCTCTTTCTCTTTTCACAATAATTGACTTGATCATTTGCTTCAGTTGGGATCCAGAGACTGTCTAGTGAAGAAGTGGAAGCGTTGCAATCTCTGCAAGCAAGTTTCAAGAAGTGCGTGGTAAAAACTGCATTTTCTTCTAAACCTTCTTGCTTATTAGTTTGTAAGACGGCCGTCTACTTCAGCTGAATGTTTTCTCTTTCTCATTTCAACTTCTTTTGTGGCGACTTGTTATATGATGCAGAGTGCTAATGGACTAGGTCTTCAAGCTTTCTCCGGGAATGATTACTGCATGGTCACCATTAATTTCCCAAGCAACACTGACTCTAAATGGGTACCACATCATGTCCTGCATTCTTTATGTTTGTTCTGGGGAAATGGAAGAAAAATACCACTATATGATTTTTGGTTATGTTCTAACAGAAGGACCCTAAAACTGGAGCACCCGAAGGTTTGTCCTTTGAGTTCGATCTATGTGAAGCAGTGGCAACTTGGGAGCAGGTGAGTTTGGTGTTTCCCGCAGTATTCTATGGGAATTGTGGGTTGCGACCTCAATGTTGTTTGGACTCTTTATGCTTTGCAATTGATTTATTATTTAGTGAGTTGATTGACAGGTTAGGAACAGTACTACCATACTTACAAAGGATTTCATAGATGCTCTCCCAAATGGATGGGAGGACTATGCATGGCGCCGGATCAATAAAGGAATTCAGCTGTATGTTGTCACCCACTTTTCTGTGAACCCACATTGTTTTCTTATTTACGAATTGGCCTTGTGATGACTGGTAGTTGGATGCCACTGCTCTTTAAAATGCAGCAATCGATGTCAGAATAAGACTTTATGTATGGAGAAGCTCAGATTGGTGTTACCTGAAACACCGCCGTATGTTCCCAAAGAGTTTGGCCGTTGTGCTGTTATTGGTAATTCAGGAGATCTTTTGAAAACAAGGTTTGGGAAAGAAATTGATGGTTACGATGTTGTCATCAGAGAAAATGGTGCTCCGATTCAGGTGAAGTGTCACCATTTAGCTTTATCAATTTCAGATGCATGGTTGCTGCTGTAGGGATCTTGTCAACCTCTTGTTGCAATCGGTTTTGCAGAACTATACTGAATATGTGGGTAGGAAAAGTACCTTCCGCCTACTTAACAGGGGATCCGCTAAGGCTCTTGATAAAGTTGCGGAGTTGGATGGTACATGCATCTCTCCATTTCCTACTTTTCTTTCAATGCACTTGATACTCTTGGCAGTGCTGATTCGGTTAAGTTTGGCAGAGTCAAGGAAGGAAGTCTTGATCGTCAAGACAACAATACATGACATTATGAACCAGATGATTAAGGTAGGTTCACATGAAGACTGAAGTGCATCCAGTAACCTTCTTATTTCCCAGTGTCTGCCTGGAAATGTAATATCTATTGCTATTGCTGCTTACCTCAAGGCTTCACTTGCCTTTTGCTGATACATTTATTTACTGCCCTCTGTAGGAAGTTCCAATAAGAAATGCTGTCTACCTTATGTTAGGTGCATCTTTTGGATCAGCAGCAAAAGGAACTGGGCTGAAAGCCCTTGAATTTGCTCTATCTATGTGTGAGTCGGTGGACATGTATGGATTTACTGTCGACCCAGGATACAAAGAATGGTATACAATTGGGTTAATAGTCACCTTCTGTTGGTGCCAAACTCGCAACTTTGATGTGTTTCCCTGAAGTAACTTCTAATATTCTTTCAGGACTAGATATTTCTCAGAATCTCGGAAGGGCCACACTCCTCTCCATGGGAGGGCTTACTACCAAATGATGGAGTGTCTTGGTGTAACTTCCCTTCTCGACTCTCCCAAATTATTATATTTAGGAGGCAAAATATTTTCATCACTTGATAACCTAGTGTGCCTCTAAATTTTACAGCTTATCAAGATTCATTCTCCCATGCGAGCTGATCCCAACCGTGTCCTGAAATGGGTTCCAAGCCAGAGTACTATTATTGCGGCTAGAACTGCATCAGAGAAACTACTGAGGTGAGCCTCTAGTAGTTTATTCCCCGAATGCAGTGTATTATATCCATTGCCACAAGTCTACCACCATTAATCATCATGAAATTTCATGCATATATGGCTGCAACTTGATAAATTGAGGTCTGGGCAACTATATCTTATAACATGTACTTTGGATTAAGTTGAACAAGATCTGGATATTAGAACTCAATGCTTGTCGCGCACAAGGCTTAACTTTCAATCTTCAAGAACTTTAGGAAGAGGAAAACATTGCTGAGTTTCTACTACTACAAGTATCGATAAGAATATTATCATTCTGTATATCCACACCCATATCCTCTGTTTGTCTTTGTAGGAGGGTTGGAGCAGGCTCTATAGACCCGCTGAGAGCATGTGAAATAAAGAAACAGGTTAGGAGGCGGCCATCAGCTGTTCCTAGTCCGAGAAAAGCTGCTATTGATCATCAGAAGTTCGTAAAAGGCACAACATTGTACCCTTTGGAGCACAATCCTGGACATGGTATGCTATGTACAGTCCCTATGGGCTGAAATTTCAAAACGCATACCAGGCATCTTTGCAAGGAACCAGCTCCCTGAAGTTGCCAAGTTATTCTTTGATTAATTCACGATGTTATGAATGTCAAGCGCAGAAGCAAACTCATTTGATCTTACGGTTTTCTAATTGCTGGAGAGATTGAAATAGGCGGATGTAGGTAGGTGGAGATTAAATCAATGTAGTAGTATCGACCATAGAACCTTGCCAGGTGCAGACGTGAACGCAAATAGGCCTTTTTATGTGCAGGAGGCAGCTAAAACACGACCTTCGTCATCGTTTGTATTCATCTCTACTTCAGTTTCTGTACAAGTGAAAGACCCTTTTAATAGCGTTAACCCTCCGTTGCTCAGCTTGCTAGCTAGCCTTGAAGTGGCAATTTTCAATCCACCAATCCAATATACTTCCTTAAATTTCAACTAATGCAATACATTTAAGGCAAAATACATTTGTATAGCCATAACTTTCACACTTGTGACAAATATAGCCATTACTATTCGAAAACCACAAATAGCCCAAAAAACGGAGGGTAGTGTGACAAATCTAGCCAAAAACGTTAGAAACTTTAACACCGTTTGCGGTTCCGTTAAATCGTTTGACGGAACGCTGACGAGGACGCCATCCGACCTCCGCATGATTAACACTTCAGCAAAATGCACACGTGGAATGCCACGTGTAGAATAAAAAAATGTTGGTCAAACAATTAGTCCATAAAAAATGTAAGATAAAAAATAAATATAAATTAAATAAATATTTTTTATTTTCTCTCTTCCATCTCTCTTCTTCCCCATCCCTTCCGGCCAAAACTCTATGTTCTTCAAACTGTCTCGATTCTTCCATCACCACTGGATTCTTGCCGGAGCTCTTCTCCCTCTCCTTCTACTCTCTCCACCTCGCGCCACTCACCCTGCCAACACTGCTTCTTCCTCCCAAATCTCCACTCCAACAACATTCTAGATTCAAAATGCACCCAACCCCCAAACCAAGATCCTTGACAAGACGATTTCAGATCTAGCGGATGGAGCTCACTGACCAGACGACGACGACCAACTGCTCTCGTCGTCATCAGATTGGTATTGAAGCTGCTGCTTCTCGGCGGAAGGAAGGGTTGGAGGAAGGCGGCGGCAGGAGAGTGGATGAGGTAAATTTCAGAGGTGGGTTCGGCGACTGCGAGATGGACGGGTGATTGGGAGTGGGTAGTTGGGTTTGTTGGGGAAGAGAGCTCCTTTCATCTCATGGAATGGAGATTGGAGAGTTGGGTTTTTCTGGGTTTTTTCTCGTCATTGTTGCGCACCGGAATCGACCCGGCGGAGTATTTTTGGCGGAAGAAGCAGCGCGCCTTCCGGTTCTTGCGCCATTAGGAAGACAGTCTCGATTGTACCGCATGGTTGGAGGGCGGCGGGAAGCGGAGATCTAGGGTTTTGGACGGGCAGTGATAAAGGCAGTGACGGTGGGTGGTATAGATCTAGGGGGAGATTTACCTATTAGTGGTGTAGAAGATGGCGGCAAGGACGGCGATTCCGGCCAAGGCAGTGATGGCTACAACAGCAGCAGGTGGGGAAGCAGAGTGGGAACCACCCGCCGTCGTCAGCGCCCAGGGGAACCGACCGCTACCACCACCGCCGTTGACGGAGATGTGGAGGAATGCTTTCAGGCTGAGGAAGTTGGAGATGGGAGTGAACATTGAGGGGGTGTGAACAACAAAAGCAAGATCGGCTTCAAATGGGGTCTCTCTGGAAAGTGAATCGTTGCAGTAGGAGCGTCATCGTGGCTTTGTAGAGGAGGAGATCGGGAGGCGACGGAGGTCGGAGAAGAGGCGAGAGAGAGAGAGAGGAAGAGAGGTGAAGGGGGAAAGAAAACGAAGAGATAAGAAAGAATGGACGAGTGGTGGTGGCCAGCTGGGTCGCTTTCATCTTTTTTTTTTTTTTCCACGTCTGTATTTCCACGTCGGATACATCTGGTAACTCAGTGGCCAACTCAGCGACAGCCGTTAGTCCATTCATAAAGTATACTAACACCGTTACTTAAATGGACGGAAGTGGCTATTTGTGGTTTTCGAATAGTAATGGCTATATTTGCCACAAGTGTGAAAGTTATGCCTATACAGATGTATTTTGCCTACATTTAAATCCAATCAATTGTCAGGTTTCCCATAAAAAAATAAATCCAATCAATTGGCTTGGGGTGCATTTGGATACAATGATTTGGATTTGGTATTTGTGATTTGGATTTCCAAATACCAAATCATGTGTTTGGATATTAATTACATTTGGTATTTGGATTTGTGTCAAATTCATGGGGTGATTTCCAAATACACGTCTAGTGTATTTTTTGTCAACTTCAAATACATTTCAACAACTAGTGATTTGAAATACTCATAACAAAAAATTGGACCTATTTGTAAAATATGAAAAGTTTAGGTACTATAGTATGAGGAAAAACATATAAAGGTACCAAAATGTAATTTTACCATCAAAATTTCAGGACCTTTTTTGTAAAATTTTAGGTACTAAATTGTAAGAAAAAATAAATTTGGGTACCAAACTGTAATTTACCAAAATTTGTAGTAAGTGACCAGAAATTTAAAAATTCAAATTGAAAATCGTAAAATACAAAAAAATTACAAATGAGTATCCAAACAATGAATTTGAATTAGGGTGCGTTTGGATAAGTGGATTTTAAATGTAAGGTATTTGAAATATTAGCATTTGAAATGGATGTATTCGAAATATTAGCATTTGAAATATATGTAATTCAAATTCATTGTTTGGATACTCATTTGTAATTTGTTTGTATTTTGTATTTTATGATTTTCAATTTCAATATTTAATTTTCTGGTCACTTACTACAAATTTTGGTAAATTACAGTTTGGTACCCAAAATTATTTTTTCTTACAATTTAGTACCTAAACTTTTAAAATTTTACAAAAAGATCCTGAAATTTTGATGGTAAAATTACATTTTGGTACCTTTATATGTTTTGCCTCACACTATAGTACCTAAACTTTTCATATTTTACAAATAGGTCCATTCTTTTGTTAGGAGGTATTTCAAATCACTAGTTGTTGAAATGTATTTGAAGTTGACAAAAAATACACTAGACATGTATTTGGAAATCACCCCATGAATTTGACACAAATCCAAATACCAAATGTAATTAATATCCAAATACATGATTTGGTATTTGGAAATCCAAATCATAAATACCAAATCCAAATCATTGTATCCAAACGCACCCTTACATGTATTTCAAATGCTAATATTTCAAATACATTCATTTCAAATGCTAGTATTTCAAATACCTTACATTTAAAATACACTTATCCAAGCGCACCCTTGGTGGATTCATGAATTGTTGGATTCATGAATTGTTGATAAATTACAGTTTAATATCTATATTTTATATTTTGGTACCTAAAATTTACTTTTAGGGAAAAATATTTTTGAAATTTTTTCATGATTAACCAAAAATTGTATTGAAGCCCGGGGAGTTACAACTCGCATACTCGCTCTCAAAAGATCAACTAGTCTTTACAGACCATCAAAACTTTTATGTATTTTCGACTGCTTAATCAACTGTAAAACTAATGACTATGTTCGAACACATTTTGTACTATCAACCGAAAAGGAATTTGACCACTTGCAAACATGTAGAACTCCTTCCAAATTTTGTTGGAGACTTGACTTGGATTTGCAATCTTCACCATTCCATATAACATTGTACATCTTTCTCGCCAAACATAACTAATAGCCATTATCAATAACTATCTCATCACAGGTGCTTCATCACTTTTCTATGCCCAGTTATGCTTAGCATAGGGTAAGTGAGAGCTCTAATATGATAATGAAGGACAAGTACATACCTTATTCAATACTATCTGCAATACTGATGCACTAAAGTAGCAGGTACTAAAGTAGTGATTGCTGCACTCTAAACCCCCTGGGCATAGCACACAACTATCATCACAAGCAACCCCCAGCTAGAAAGTTTATCCTTAGTTGCTCAAGATGATAAACCATAATAGCACACTATGCTTTAGAATGAATGGTTTATCCCATTTGTTTCATGGTTGTCAAACGAGGTGAATGGTTTTTGAACCATCATCGTTGTTGTCAATAACGGTGAATGGCTCACCGCTCACGTGTAATGCGGTGAGACACAGATATGAGAAGAAAATCATAATCCACGCCTCACCGCATCCGATGGTCGTGGTGAAGGGGCAGGAGGACGCGGATTGCTGAAAGAACCGATCCGTGTCCTCCTGCCCATTCACCACGACCGTCGGATGCAGTGATACGAGGATTCTAGTTTTACTCCCAGATCTGATGCCTCACAGCGTCCCGCGTCAGTAATCCGAGTCCTTCACCGCCTTTATCGAATGCGGTGAATGCACTGCATTGGACGACTACGATGAAAGCACTGCCTCCACGCCTGCAGTCTCCACCTCCTATAAATTCAGACCTCCTCCCCTCATTTTAGCCACACCGCTACACTTCACAATTCTTTCTCCCTCCCTTCCTCCACTCTAGGAATTTCAATTATGGTTTGTGGTTGCGGTTAAGGCCGATCCTCCACAAACATAATAAAGTACTTGAGTTATTTCCTACAACCCTCCCTACTAAAAACCCATCGAACCTAAGCTTCCGTCAAAAAATGAACGAAGAGGCTCTTAGGGTAAGTACTTGCTTTTCCTTTTATGATTTTTTTAATTGAAATAATCTGGTTTCATTTTGTTTATTTTATAGATGGGTGTCGAGATATACGATCCTCGATTGTATATCGATCCTGGGCCAAAGGATGTGAAGTATTTAACCAAACAAGCAACACATTGCACCCATGCAATTTAGCACAACAATCCGGTAGGCACTCAAAACAAACTAAAATTTTAATTTTCGGAATCTTGAAACTTTATATTTTGCTTTCCTTTCACTAATAGTTTGCTCACTTTTGTATTTTTTTTTTGTGTTGGAATCATTCATTCCCATCACCCATAGAGGGAATTCACGTTTTCCCGAATGACATGACCGACTCGGGCCGTATCTAGAGAGGACGGGTTTGGAAATGATGAGACACTTCATGCAGATTGAGATCGACATCAATTTGTTGACGGCAATGTCAGAGAGGTGGCGCCCCGAATTACACACCTTCCACTTTCCCGAGGGGGAAATGATTATCACTCTCAGAGACATTGTTCCTCACCGGGCTATCGATCACCGGAGAGGCCATCATCGGCCACTCAGAAGTTCTCGAAGGAGGCTGGGAGCCCCTGATTAGCGAAAGTTTGGGCTTCGACATGCTGCCACCGACGACAGTTTAAGGACATGGACATCCACCGTTGAATGCGGGGCAAATATCGATCCCATGGCTTGTTGATCATATCCAAAAGAAGGTTCCTATCGACCCACATCCCCCAAAGAACAAGTGAAGCGGTATGCACGTGTCTATCTTATTGCCTTGGTTGGGGGATTCATGTTTCCAAACAAGGAAAATAGGTGGGTACATGCCATGTTTTACCGTTGGTGCTCGATGACTGGGACGAGATCGTGACAAAGAGCTGGGGGTTGGAAGTGCTCGAAGATGGGTGCGAAACAAACTGGAAGTGCTATGTTCATCCTCCAGCTCGTCGTCTGTATCTTCCTCCTCGCTCACTGATCTCAAATCTTCCTCACTTTCCTCGTCGCTAAGACAAATGGATAGCTTGGGCCAGGAGGAGCATCGTTACCGACACCACCAACATTTTCTTCTCTCTCATGCGAAGTACGCTCAGATCGAATTATGTTTTAAAGGTCAGCCCACTTTGGCCCCCAACCAGGTCATTGAACGCCGTCGGGCTCAACGAATGGGGCGGGCTCAGCATGTTGCGGGTATTCTTCCAACGACACCACTCCTGCAGAACTACCCCCTCCGTAGTTGCTTGAACTACCACTTCATTTGTACCCTCCTGCAAAACCATCATCATAAGAATACTAGTGAGAATGAGTTTCACCAACCTCATTGGTCTCAACATATACCTCTGCAAGCTGCATCCTGTTGTCAGCTAGGAACTGTAACATCATGGACAACACGTCATCATCATTTATGACAACTTCTTCGTACATAAGCCCGCCAACACTCATATTTAGATACTGGTAGCCCCCAAAAATGACTTCTCCGGTGGGGAACGCATTAGATATTTACCTAAACTGATCGGTCCTTGAGCGTATCCTACATTAGCCCCTAGACGTTGGTCTCTAACGATACAAGTAACCAACTCCCGTCTGTCCGCCCATAGAAATCCTGTCTGTACAAATGTCACGAAGTTCTTGCCATGCGAATCTGGACTCAATTTTCAACATAGTGGATTCACCATCTTCATAATTGATCCCAATGTTAGAGATTATCACCCGACCATTCCACCGAATAAGAAGCTGGAACTTCTTGAATTCATCAATGTCTGCAATTTAATAGAAACATGTAGTATAATTAGTACTTAGGGCTACACAAAATACTTCAGAATCATAATCCATAACCATAAACAACCGCAACTAACTAATCGAAACATCTAGTATAATTAACATCACTATAGCATGAGTATACTAAACAAATTCATCTATAACCATAACTAACTATCATCCTTCAACCATACTTAAACAAAATATCTCTACTATAACATACTTGCCATTAACAGTAATTCCTTAAATACAAACATATAACTACTAAAACATCAACAATCTAAACAATATCAAATTACAACATACCTTAAATTATAGTTTTTGTAAGATATGGGGAAGGATTTTGGCAAAAATGGGGAAGGGGTTTGGCAGAAATGGAGTATGGGTTTAGTGTCAGCAGCTACGTGGGAGGTGGGAGTTTAATTATTTGACATACAGTCTGCATTCACCGCATTTGTCTAAAGTGGTGAAGTGTACACCGCTTTAGACAAACACGATGAACGTTAGGTAGTTGTCACCTACCAGGGCTGGAAAATGTGGAAAACGTTTACTGCTATTGAGAGACGTGATGAATGATTGACTGCTTTTCTTAACAACGGTGATGTATTCATCGTTGTCGTAAAAAATTCTTCTCTGTATTTGACAACGACGGTGATTGCTACTCTGCAGTTGACAAATAGCGGTAAAAGATCTTCACTGCATTTGACAACAACATTTTCTTCAAACATATGTAGATTGAGATTTTTTTTTGTAACGTACGCATGTTGATTTTCTTTAAAGAACGTGTGTATTTAGTGAGAAAACTCCAAGTTGGAAATCTCCCGTACTGAGGTTAATAAAAAAAATTTGATTGCCTATTAAAAAAACTTTCAATGATCTATTAATCTCATTATTAGAAATTAACAATAGTACAATACCAGCATCGGTCAATAATTGCCCAAAATGCCCACCGTCCTGAAGGGAACCACGTGTCAAGCACCCAACAACACTTTTGAAAGGCACTCACATTCACTGACTCACTCAACGACTCGCTTAACGAACTCACTCGGTTGCCCTCGACTCATTACTCGCTCCGCCTCTTCGATTCCCTCTCCCACCACTTCCCTTCTCTCTCTCTCTAAGCCTTGCAACAAGTTGAATTCCCTTTTTCCTCTTTTTCCCGTATTAAACAATTTTCTTTCCCTAATTCATACCCTCACTTTCCACTGACGAACCCTAGAGGAAATCCAGTTTGGGTCTCTCCGCCCTCTCGTAAAATGGCAGATATGCAACCGCCAGAATCCCATCTAGGCGGCGGCAGCGTCAGTGCTGGTGGTGGCGTCGTCGCCGCCGTGATCCCTGCCGGGGGTCCCAACCAGGTGACCTCATCGGAAACCGTGGGCTCGAAGCGGCAACGGAGGCCCAGCGTCCGGTTAGGCGATATCGGCGGCGACCAGCTCTACGATCCCTATTCCCGGAAGGCAACTAGCATGAGCAAGTCGTGGAAGCAGCACCAGAACCACCACCAGGTCTCGTCGGCCGATCAAAAGAGAGATTCGAACAAGGGCTCCAAGACGCGGGCCCTCACGAACCTGAGCGCCGGCGGGGCCGACTATGCCGAAACCCTAGACGAAGACAATAAGGAATTGAATTTGGACAGAATCGCCATTGGAAGCTGGAGAGTCAAGGAGGCGAAAAAGCGAGCCCCTAGTGCCCCCGTGAAGCGCGTTAGATCCAGTTGGGTCACCAAGATTGACGAAACCGGAGACGGCGGCGGAGGACTTGGAGTCGGAGTCGGAGTCGGTGGTAACAACAATGTGGAAGGGGATGGGAAATACAGCGCTGGAGAAGACATGGACGATTACGATGATGCTGAGAATTCAGACGCTCCTTCGAAAGAACAGAGCCCAGTTCATTCTCTTGAGAATTTGGGGGATGGGAACGAGAGAAATGAGAGGGAAACGTACTACAACGACAAAAGGGCAACGAGAACAAGGAGTGGGAACCATATATCGAATCATCACCATCCGCATCAGCAGCATCAGCATCAGGATGGAGTAGAATTGTTATCAGGGCCATCTGAAACAGACACCAGAGGAGGGGTAGGGTATAGGGACAATGAGATGTGTGATGCTGGGGAAGACGGGGTCAGGATTTGGCTGAATAACTTGGGTTTGGGGCGGTATGCTCCTGTGTTTGAAATCCATGAGGTGGACGATGAAGTACTGCCTATGTTGACGTTGGAGGATTTGAAGGATATGGGGATTAATGCCGTTGGGTCGAGAAGGAAGATGTTCTCCGCAATTCAGAAGCTCAGTAAAGGGTTCTCGTGATGGTGGGGAAATGTCTCAGCGAATTTTGTAGCTTTGTTTTTCTTTTCTTCTTTTCATCTTGACAGAGGAGTAGCTGCTGCTGCTGCAATCATCGTCTTGATCATCATCAGCCATGGTAATCCATATCGACATCATTTCTTGAACTGAAATCCGAGCTATTCCGTTTCGCTTTTAGTAGAGAGGGTAGTGGGTAGTAACAGTCTTTTCCTTTTCTTCTTTGCCTACAGTTGTTATAATGAAATTTTTGTTCCTTGCCATCTCTTCTTTGCACAATATGAATGCATTTTTTTTTGTTCAGTGCAACTCTACAAGTAGCATGGACATGGAGTTAGTCAATTTCTCTGAGATAAGTTATTAGTTCGGCTGAGTTGTCCTTGATTACGAATCAGAACATGCCCTACTGTTTCGAATCCAATTTCTGCTGTCTTGGCTTGTGATCAATGGTGGGAAGTTGGCCCGAATAAAGTTGCCATTTCCATAAGTTTTTGTATGTGTGCCCGAATCTGTGTTTGGTTTGCCTTCAAAGTTGTGGCGATTGAATGGACATTGGTTGGCAGAGGCCAGAAAAGCCATCAATCTCATTGCGTCTCATGTGGCTGTGCTGGGAGGTGTCTCATTAATGCATTTTGCCTTGCCTTGAACTCTAGCAAGCTTCTTTAACCAGAGCTGTTTGCAAAAGAGGAAGTGTATCTAGGCTTCATGATGTCTGTATTAATGAGATGCCTGGTCTCTGTTATGTTAGGAAACCTACATTCCGTTATCTCGCTCGCTTTTTCTCTAGGTTATGCTATTGCCTTTGCTGAAACTGTATTTTCCGAGCAAATTTTAGGTTCAGTTGGCTCGCATTAGCTTGTAAAGTTGGTGCTTAACGAGGTGTTTTCAATGAAGCTCTGAATCTTGGGCGAAAATTATGCACCGTTATTTTCTGTAATGGACAAACAAAGTCGGAAGGAAATTCATAGGGAGAACTGCTGTATATGGGGAACTAGAAAGAATGATCAGAGAATGCACAGAAGACCGTAAAAAATCCCTGGAGGGTACAAGAAAACTAAACAATGCACGAGCAATTTTGAAATGCCCCGGAACAATATTGCTCGTAGCTAACGCTTGCAGAAGTATGGAATACAACCAGTACTCGGTTACACATCTCAGTCGCTGATATGGAAGCAAAAGACGGGGGGCATTTTCTGTAAGATAACTGCTGCAACATCGTTGTAAGTTCCTTGGTTACTCCAACTTGATGGTACCATGCTCTTGGTGTTGCTTGTTGGGTTCAGCTGGGAAGTACTTGATGCCCACAAGGTCACCAACTCCACTTATAACCTGTTAAAAACAGAACATATGAATAAAAAATGGCGACTTCAGGAGGAAAATCACAGGAAGGCCAAGACAGACAGACAGACAGACCTCCAGGGCCTTCACAAGGTCTTCCTTAGTATGAGCAGCGGATATGCATATACGTGCTCTCGCCAAAAGCAAAGGAGTTGCTGGAAAAGCAACTGTGACTACAGCCACCTGCAATATAACACCATTCCAATTCCACGTTTTAATGCCAGATTAAGGTGATGTCCAGCCAAACCACCTACATTGAAGTCGGAATTTTTATAAACTGCAAAACACCAACTCACCTTCTGCCTTAGACATTCCCTGGAGAATGCAGGGATTTTGGCTGGATTGTAGAGCATTATTGGCATTACGGGAGAATCATTATCCCCCAGAACCTCGAAACCCATTTTCTGCAATTCCGATCTGAAGAAGTTGCTGTTTTCACGAATTCTAGCAAGTTTTTGGGCCCCTAAACCAATGAAAAGAAATTTTAATCTAGACACTCAGAACTCATGCTCCCAAAGAAATGCATTGAGGAAAACCAAGTGCCAAAAGTACCTCTATTAGAACCATCCTCTCCAAGAATGACCTTTATCGAAGAGATTATTTGTTGGGCGCCAGGAGGTGATATTGCTGTTCCATACAGATGAGCTGGACAAGTGTACTTGAGATATTGTACAAGTTCCTGGATAAATTGAAAACCTTAAATTTCAATTGGAAATATAGCGCAGGGTTGGACTTTCAATAAGGGGTACCAATACAACTTGCAATTACATTCACAGTATTTGGAGAAAATTCTCAAGGGGGCTAGAAAAATACCTTTGATCCAGCAATATAACCCCCGCAAGATCCAAATGATTTTGTAAAAGTTCCCATCATGACATCCACATCTGCAGTATCCACTCCTAAGAGTTCACAGACACCTCTCCCAGATTTCCCAACAGCTCCAATGCTGTGAGCCTCATCTAGGTACACATAGGCCTACAAAAAACGCAACAAAATATAAGACTGGTTACGTCTACTATGATATCTTGCAAAAACGTCCAAGTGTGTGTGCATTTGTAAACAATCACGTACATCAGAATAACAATAAATATTATTTAGAATGTCAATAAAGTTTAATGGCTTTTCATATCCAAAATATGACAATGCAGAAATAAAAACCATTTGATATTCAAAACGGATGACAATAAGGAACAATTGCAGGTCAAAGACCAATCAGTACAGAAAACAAAACAGAACACTTGTGATGAATTCTAGTCATCAAAATATGCTATGGTTATCACAAAAAAGGTGATTCATTTATGTTAAGTCACCCCCTATTGATCTCCTATATTGAGTTCTTTGCTTATTAGACTTGAAAATAAAAAGGTGAAGAACATGGCACACTGTTAGTCACCTTATATTTCTTGCAAATTGAAACAATCTCGGGCAGTTTGCACAGTTCCCCTTCCATGCTATAAATACCTTCCACAATAACCATTATCTTCTTCCAAGGTCTATGTGTCCTGGGCTGCCCTTCCGCAATCTGCTCTCTCAACACTGTCTCCAAGTGAGATGGAGCTGCACAAAACATGCGGATGTAGAATGTGATACAAGTGGATTAAAAAAGCAAAACATACTGAGAAATATTAATAAAATTAACACCAGCCAACTTACTATTATGTTGGAAAACACGTATTGTTGCCCCAGAGCCTCGAGCACCATTAACAATGGAGTTATGGTTCAAAGAATCACTAATTATTAGCCCTCCCTGATGACAAAACAACAGGAGAAGAGTAAATCAAGACAATCCAAACATTTATATATACAAACTTACAAATTGATAAAAACAAATTATAACCACATACCTTCCCCATCAGAATAGGGAGAATGGCAGAGTTTGTCACATAACCCATCCCAAATACCACGGCAGCAGGCTTCCCAACGAACCTCGCAACACATTCCTCTAGGTCAGTATGCAACATCGTAGTTCCTGGGGAAGGATCCATATCAGTCAAGAAAAAAACATCATGACCCAGAAAAACTTAGAGCAGGTAGTCAAGGAAAAGAATGTAAGAAAAATATTATGCACATACACACCCCCATCAACACGAGTGCTGCAGGTACTTGCCGCGAACTTCTTTAGGGACTCGATGGCACGGGGAGTGCAATATTCATCGGCTGCTGCAAAGCCGAGATAGTTGTAGGAACCCAAGTTGAGACACTTGCTTGTCTTGGTAGTTCGTCTGCAGACACATTGTCAACAGAAAAAAAGAAATTAAGAAATAGACTAGCACAGAAGAAATAATTGAAGGAACCGATGGAAGTTCATGGTAAAACAACAACACAAGACTGACTCACTTCAACGTCTTGTTGTTGTCATTCGAGTAACGCTCAACAACATCAAACCAAGCATCAGGAGCACTAGATATTGGTCGTCCAAAACAGTCCTGCCGTTTGCCAATTTGAACCAAGCAAAATGAATAATTAAAAAAGACCCATCACTTGGAAATCTAAACCCATCTAACCATCTGCCAAACTCCAGTAAGCCACCGAGGCGCTGAAAAGATATTCACCGCAAGGCAAGGAAAGCACAACAATAACGAATTGGCTGGCCGCCATCGAAGTTATACGTCTGAGATGATAAGTAGAACTTAGAAGATAAGTCTAAGGGAGAAGCTCAATTGAAGTACCTGAATCCGAAGATACAAGCGTCGAATATAAAAGTCTTCGAGCCCTAAACAGATGGGTGCATATCCCTGAAAACCAAATCCAAGATGGCCAATTTTAGAGCTACGACAAAGGAGTTTGGGAAACAACCGGAGAAAAAGTGGAGAAGAGGTAGAAAGGAACCAACGTCAAGGGTGCTGGCGCGCCACCAATCAACGATCTTCCGGAAGAAATCACGCAATTGGCCGAAAGCGAAGAGCAGGCCGTAGCTGAAGTAGGTGCTCAACGCCGTCAAGTAGGGAATCGCAATCATCTTGCTACCGGATCTGAGGAGCCGCAGAATCTAATTAAGAATCAAAATGGGAAGGGCAGGGCAGGACCGGGAATGACAGGAGAGGAGATTCAAAATTGAATCCAAAACTTTCCCTGGCTATGTTCTGATTATTTCCCCCTCTCTTCTCTTTCTCGGGAAAGGAAAGGCGAAGATGGGTATTGAGAGAGAAGGCTTACAGTTGCAGGTTGGGATGGAGGACGAGGAGGGTTGGAATCGAGAAAAGTCTGCCAAAGGCGAAGAGTAGACAGAGACGAATAGTAATTAGTAAACAAAGCCTAATTTCCCATGTTTCTCCTTCGGCACGGAGGAAGCGGAAGAACAGGGAAGCCCGAGTGAGAGAGATGTCTCGTGAAATAAAACTTGATCTGGTCTCTTTGACGTGTGTTAATTATTAGTTTTCTTTTTCTTTTTCTTTCTGACAGGGTGTTAATTATATTATTAGTTTTGGCTGGCGATGGAAGAGGAAGGCTAACTCCAACATTGCAACGTGTCAAACGGGATTAAGTTATAAGTCGGTTGGACTAAGGTCGTACAAAGGTTCGGTCCAAATTCATAAGTATTGCGGTTTAATAGTGAAAGACTTAAAGACTTTTTAATTTCATGTATCTGATGAATTTTGTATTCGGTCCGATCCAAATGTCATTCCGGTCCATTTTTCTTTTGTATTTATAAAATTCATAAAACCAAGGACTGATATATTCAGAGGTCGTTTGGAAGTTGCGAATGCTAAATCGTTGTATTGTAATAAATCACCATAATATAAATGTATGTATTCATACAATGGATGCATTTTAACAATACATTGTTTGGTTGTTGAGATTCTACTTTATGCATTGATTTACATAAAGTTATTTTTATGGGGAAATGTCACATTTACCCTCAACTTTTAGAATAAGACAAAAACTATTGAGGATATAAATTGAAAGAAAAAGTTGACACAAATCTAAAACTAACAATCACAACAATCTCAACTTTTAGTTGAGATTGTATAATGTATCATTTTTTGTGATTGTTGGTGGGACCTACCTAAAACAATGTATGTATTGTTTAACACTTTGACACTTCCAAACATTGTATTGTGCACAATACATGTATTCAACAAACACAACTCTAACAATCACAACTTCCAAACGACTCCTCAGTTCAATATGGTCTGGTCCAAATATCGGTTTGATTCGGTATGATCGGGGTTCAACCGGTTTAAGCAAAATGAAATAAACTACCACTTCTAGGCATCTACTCACAAGAATCAGACACAAAGAACCAAAACGCATATTTTTTCAGGAAGTCAGCAAGAAGACCAACTAGTTTGAGTGATTAAAATGAAACCATAGAGAGTGGAAGGAAAAAGTAAGTCGTGGAAGGTGAATAGCCTAAGAGAGGGAACAATCTGACCTCTATATTCAACTCCATAATAGAGCTTAACCACCGTTCCCGAATGGATTTCAGGAATTCAGAAGCAGTTTTGGTCCCCGTCGATGCTTTCTCTTCGCTAGTATTCATCTCTTTTTTGCCCAAAACCCTATATGATGGGCTGTGGAACACGTCGATGGGATGTGGAACTCGCCGAAAGTTGTGGAAATCAGAGAGGCTGGTCTGCGACGGAGGAGAGAGGGTGCAGCTAATGCATGCTTTCGCTTCGGCCATCACCTAATCAATGAAGAACAGAGAAGCGAAGATAGCACATAGTGTGGGCCTGTCGAGCCATAATCGATGGTCTATAGCATCAATGATCTAACAATCAAGCATTGATACTACTCGAGGCATAGATGGTTGATCATTTCCTCTATACTCGTGTTGCATCAATGGGGTATCACTAGAGGATAATTTCTTAACAACTTAGATGAACTAAGCACAATGTATTTATTAGTATACTATAGAATCATAAGTATCGATGATAGAAAGCATTCATAATAGATAAACATTAATGATCATAAGATAAGCATTGAAACTAAATGAATCCATACACATGATAGACATCAAATTTCAATTGTGTAAACACAAGCGTCATATGAAATCATAGCATCAATACATATAAAGAAAAGAGTTCACGTTCCTACATTATCAATTTTGAACTAGCTATACATAGAAGAGAATGAGGGTACTATCATCGATGATGAAGACGTCTCCTTAGCTCCTACGAATGCTAAGCTTTCGCCCGAACAGAGTGTCTACATAAGTTCTTAATTGAATTGTGTAGCCTATTAAACTAATGAGTCTAGCTCCCTATATATTGAGGTAGAACTTGGCCAAAATCTTTATAACCCTACTAAGACAAGGTCTCTCTGACTGGGGTCGAAGTATAGCCGCCAGGATCTCTTTTCGGCTTGGCCATGAGTGGCGGCTGGAACAATCACTATTTTTCTTCATGGGCTTGACTCATAGGCCCATAAGTAACCTCTCCTTAAGATTTCTCTGTGATTTGGCTAGTTTGCTTGGGCGGCGATTGTTGGACCCGCTACTGGACTGCCAATGGTTCTTGCTTTAGTTTGGACGAAGTCTTCCACCATTAGGCTCCTCTTGGGCTTTACTCGTGATTCACACTAGGTTTCTTCGTCATTGGACATCGTCTTTTACATGAAAACTTCATATTTTTCTCTCTTTTGTTCCTTTGTTCTTACAGAATCATCCAATACTTTATCCAAATTCTCCTAGTTTGTATTTTACCTTAAAAAGCACAAAAACATACCATGCATAGAAGAATACAAAAACACAACCCTAGGTCTAACAAATGCACATTGATCAAATAGTTATGATTAGTTATAAAATATAAGAGAAAGTACTAAAGTTGCATGGATAAAAGAGGAAAATGTATCTATTGATGCCAAGCTCCGAGGAGCCTGCTTCAATGTGTTTGAGGTCCGGTAAGCGTCGACTTCCTGGCCAACACCAGCCTCCGAGATGGACACCTGCAAAACAAAAGGACCCGCCGGCCGGTGGTCGGCGGGGACCTGCTCCGAAGCTCAAGTCAGTATTGAGAGGAGAGTAACCGGGAGCGACGTATTGAGCCGACTCTTGAGAGAGATTTAGAAGTTCCACTCCAAAATGAACTGCCTAGAAAGTTTAAATGAACGTCCTATTTATAGGTGCCTCCTGCTTCTAAGATAGATGGCATGTAAATAATATAAAAATGTATTCATCTTCCAACCATCCAATGTGCAATGGATGGATGGACGGGTGTAAAATAACAAAATACTCTATCAACCAAAACAGTGTGCAATGGTTAGTTGATTCTGGCACGTAAAAAGAAATAAACACATAAATAAGGTTACCTATCTTCTCATTTGACCACGTGTAAGTGAAGGTGGCTCATGCATGGTTGAATTGGCTTGGTAGTGAGAATTAAGTAAATGCAAAAGAAAAAAAATATCTTACCTCCATGTTTTCAATACCATGTGTGATGTAAAGAGATAGGGTGATATGTTTCTTTCAATAAAAGAGGTCCATCAAACAGATAATTAGCCATTTGGGGGATAGAGTTGTCTTCATTCCCCCTTCTTCATGTGTAATGGTAACATGGAATGTAAATTGGTTGTTTGGCATAGGTAACTAGATAATTAATCAAGTAATTATCCACCTCATGTCCACATGTTTAGAGGAAATGAATTGGGTGGCCTTATTTGTGCTTGTTCATCAAATATAATTCACCAAACAATTCTTGTCTAGACCACGTGTAGTTTTAATACCAACTAATACCTTTACACATAGAAAATAAAGTGATGAGGTGTTAAATGTTTATAAGTCCATGTAAATGGAATGGTGGGTGGTGAATGCCATGGCTCTTCCATGTGAGTTTGTTTTGGGAAAGTGGATTGGTGGATTTTGTGGGATAATAATAGGAGGCAAACCAACCAATTACTCCATCATGCAATGAGAGGGAGGTGATGAGATTTTTACCCCATTCTCCTGTACGTAGGTTAAGTTGGGATGAGAACTTAATTGTGTGGGAGGTAGTGGGAGTGTAGTTGCTTTGAGATGAGTAAGGGAATCAATACATGCGTCCTTAGTCCAACTCATAGCCATGGTAGTCTATTTTTTGGAGTAAGGAAAAACTCCCATAATTAAGCTCTTCCTATGACATCTCTTGCACATGTTATAGAGAATATATGGTAGCTTTATTTGTGTTTGTTGAATTAGGGTAGCCTTCTTGTAACAAAAAACGAATTGACCTCCACATGTAAAGGAATTTGTTGACATCCCTTTTACCCATGTATATGGATTGATAGATGGTAAATTCTGGGTCCGTCAATTGCCCCCTTACCAATAGGAAAATTAAGGTTGAACCAAAGTTTTCTATTGGTAACACATCACTAGGTGTAATTTAAATCATGGCATGCATAGCCGACACAAATTGCGAGAGCAATTATTGGAGAGTCGTGCCAGTCATGGTTGATGGACCATATCATCATGTCAAGCGATCATGGAAAGCCGTGTCAATTGTGACAGGCAGGCCGCACCAGTCGTGGTGGGCACCATGGTGAATCGTGACAATCATGGTAGGCGACCCAAACCATTCATGGCAAGCGACAAATGCCATTTGTTGCGGGCTTATGTTGTGTGTTTAGTGTTGCCCGTGTATGAGTGATAAGGACAATAGTTTGGTTTATGCAACATCATAAGAGAGTTTTGATATCAAGTATAAATGAGAGTTAGGAGGGATTACCAGATAGTTTTTGAGTTTACAAAAACTTTCTCATACTTGGATTTTCCTTGATGGGAGCATGAGAAGGGAAGAGGTTGCCCTGCCAGATTGGTGATGATGATGCAAAAGTTTTCCCGTCAAGATTCGGAAGAGATGGAGGCAGAGTGGTGTGGGTGAAAAAGTGGATCTATTTTCACAATAGCAATTTGCGGGGAATTGAACCCTTGACCTCATTGATGGAGGTGTGCCTACTAAATTAGTAGATGACATGGGCTTCCTCGGTAAAACGTAGATCTTACGAGAGACGGACCTAAACCGGTGCCCCCACCGCCTTGTTGTGACTTCCAGGACATCAGGTTTCTCCCCCATCTCTCCTAGCGGGTTTGACGTTGACAATGATAATTTGTAAAAAATTTCACCGGGCTCCATTGCAAATGCAAATTGTTGATGGAACTTTTCATCAAGTCCCACTATAGGTGCCAATTATTGATGTCAGGGCGCCATTCCATGAGAGGACTTGAGGATCCTATGATTTCGTGGCAAATCAATGGAGGAACTAGTGGGGTTGAGGGCGCACAGTTCTGGACCAAAGATTGACACAACTCAATCTTAGTCGAGAGATCCTCAATTCTTGGAGATAGCAAATTGATTGATGTTTGGAGTTGTATCTTGACGAATCCCTTCTTCGGGTTGCATATCCTGCATGCCCATCTCGTTGGGATCCTCGATTCTTGGAGATAGCAACTTGATTGATGTTTGGAGTTGCATCTTGACAAATCCCGACTTCGGCTTGCAAATCCTGTGTGTCCACCTCGTCTTGATGGATTGACGATTTGTTGGTATCAATCTCACGGGGCCCCAAGGTGGGCGCCATTT